CTATAATGCTTTTGCCCGTAACTTATATGACAAACCGTTTTTTTTTTCAGAAAATTTGTATTTTTATCTTCCTCAGCTTTAATTCTTATAACTCCGTGATTTTAGTCCCCAAGCGAACAATACCGACCGAGCGATCGCCGCTTGTCGGCGAAGTTTAGTGCGGACTTTTGCGGATAGAGGGTGTCGCGTGGTCAGCGCAGCGAATCCCCACGGCCGTTAATTTCGGGTTTCTAGACCAGAGACGCTATTTCCTTGAAACAGTTCCTCAGTTATCATCAAGAAGCTGAGCGGACCCACTAATTCTCAGAAAAAAATATGGTAGCGCCGGGAATTGAACCCGGACCTCTGGATCTGTAGCCAGGAACGCTGACCACTAGACCTCAGGGGCGGTCCTTTAAGCCTTATAAGAATTAAAATTTAATACAGTTTTACTTTATCCATTTTATTAATTTAAGCTCGGAAAACTTTCGGCAATTATACAGTAACAGACATTCCTCGAAAGGTTTAAAGTATGTGAATCGCCTGTATGTAGTAGATAGCTAATTAGTGTGTAAGTATATGAAAGATTGATCAATGTCGCAGCAGCTGAACAGACTTAACTTGCAGTGATTTAATTATTTGTTTGAGGATTGATCTCACTATTGCATCAGCGGTAACACATGTTATTATTTAGATGTGAATACACATAAGATTTATGTCAACTGTGTATTGCACATAAAATGTAAACAATCCCTAGATATTTAAGGGGCACTTCATTCTGCACTTAAATAAACAGAGCTTCTAAGCGCCTTCTCTAAGATTATGCATCACACAATCATAACAATTTAAATGTATTGCTGACATGACATTGCAAGGCAGACATTGCCCTGGATGAAGAGATAACAGTGTGTACGGGTTCCCAAATGGAACACCGCGTTTTAATTTACACTGAGGCTACTTATATGGAGCCGGGATAGCGCAGTCGGTATAGAGACTGGCAACGGGCTGGACGAGCGAGGGACCGGAGTTCGAGTCCCGGTATTGTCAAGAATTTTCTCCTCTCCATGTCGTCCAGAACGGGTCTGGGGCCCACCCAGCCTCCTATCCAGTGGGTACCGGGGAGTAAAGCGGCTGGGCGTGAAGCTGACCACTCACCTCAAACTAGTGTCGAGATCCATACGTCTTCATGGCGCAGTGCTTAAGCATGGGCACAACTTTACCTCAGGCTACCCTTTTCGTGCTACTGTATGTATATTCTTATGTTTATGTCACTTTTGACATCATTTGTAGCTTCTAGAACACTCACTTGCAGAACAGGTAACAGAAATATAAACATTCAAAAATACAAAAGTATATGTCTAAATAAAACTGCAGTGTTACTTCCAGGCATCTCCGTACATTTGTGGTTGTATCTGGTTAAACTCCGTTGAGACATGTTATTAACATGAAAGTTACATACCGTAAGAAATCCATATTTTCTGTTATTTTCTTATTTTTCTGTATTCAATCATTCATCAATGGCTCTACAGTCCTCTACCCTATACACATTCGGTAGAACTTCTTGGACGGGGATCAGCCCGTCTAAGGCCGCTACATACACACAGAACACAAATACAGAATAAATGCACACAGACATCCATGCGAGTGGTATTCGAACCCACGACTCCAGTGTTTGGGATGGCGAAGACGGTTCATGTCTCACACCGCGCGGCCACCGTGATCGCCTATTTTTTGTACGGTACATTTTAAATACTCGTACACGAATAAAATTCGATTTTGGCTTCATGTAGGTAAATCCATCTTTAGTTTTTAGTGAAAACTTTCGAACAAAAAGTTATCCCTGTACTTAATTTAAGTACGGCACCATGAATATGTTAATTGGATTGGAGGAACAGCTCCAGGCATTGTTGATCTGAAAAACAGATGCAGGAGAATTCTCAGCTTGCCTTCAGTCAAATTACTTCAGTGGAAACTTCTTCCACACCTATCAAGTGCTTCAGGAAATGAAACTTGCAGGCTGACAGATGTCTCCACAATACGCGCTCACTTTATGTAATGAGCGAAAAAATATGCATATAAATTTGGCATGGAAATGTGCCACAAATAGACTACATTAAACTATGCATATCTCCAACATCGTTTTCTAAACAAGAAAAATTCTAACAGACCGATTTTGTGACTATAATATTAAATAAACTTAAATGGATTTTATGGCACCTTACGTTTCTGGCAAGTGAAAATATGCAGACACTCTGTGGGGGTTTTTTTTTTTTTTGGTTGAAAACAGTAGGAGGTACAATGTGCCGGTCACGGTAGCCGAGCGGTCTAAGGCATGCACTGTCTTCGCTCGCTCGGAAGCCGGGATCGGGGTTCGAATCCCACTCAGGGCATGGATGTTTGTGTGCGTTTTTCTGTGTTTGTGTACAGGTAGAGGCCTTGCGACGAGCTGATCACCCGCCCAAGGAGTCCTACCATATGTGTAAGATCTAGAAAAACCGAAGTGAACGGAGAAGTTCATGGAGGTAGGCCTGGGCCCACTGGGGCTGTAGTGCCAAGAAAAAAGAAAGAGGAGGTACAATGTACACAAGACTCCCTCCAGTTCTTTTTCAAACGACAGATCAAGGGAAATCTGTTAACAACCCGACTGTGCGCAGAAGTGTTTTTTTTGGGGGGGGAAACCAAATACTGACTACGAACTATATATAAATGTGTCTGTAGGGCTTCACTCTTCATATCTGAAGCCCAATAAAGGAAAACTTGACGCAAATCTGATTAGACTGACGTGCACAGCCATTTCACTAATTCACATTCCTGTTGCTCTCTCTGGAGCACAGTGCATCCGTGAAACGCTACACAGGACAACACAAACACAGAATAAACGTAGACAAACATACATGCCTCGAATGGGATTGGAACCCAAGATCCCAGTGTTCGGCCGGGCGAAGATAGTACGTGGCCTAGACCGCGCGGACACCGTGATCGGCGCACAGCCCTTTTAACTAACATAAAAACTGTGTAAGTAGAGACAGAAGATTCTCAATTAATACGTGGAGAGGCTGAAAACATTATGAACATATAAAATACATGTACAGAGTATACACAAAAGAGTGGTGCGGTTTCAAAGTTAATAAGAAGTTTATTTCTCAACTTACACGGGCATAAGATACACTTTCAGCGGCGGCAACTGTCCAAGTTTCTCATGCGTTAATTACAAACCTTCAATGTGTGCACCCTGGGTCACACGACACACATCCACACGCTAATCAGCTCATCCCAGACCCGGTGTAGCATGTCCGCTATAATGGCCTGCAGCGCATGCGCTATCCGATCACGAAGTTCATGGACGGACGTGGGCAATGGTGGTACAAAAACGCTGTCTTTAACGAACCCCCAAAGAAAGAAATCACACGGTGTAAGATCCGGCGAATGGGGTGGCCAAGGGAGAAGGTTGTTGTCTCCATTTGCAGCAGCACGTCCGATCTAAAGCTGTGGAAGAACACGATTGAGAAACACTCGTACATTCCTATGAAAATTGGGTGGGGGACCTCCGTCCAGTTGTAGAATGTAATCTTCATTATTGTTATTCAGTTTGGGTCACAACCAGCTTTCCAACGTGTCCAAAAATGAGTCGCCAGTCACAGTTGCTTCAGCGAAGAAAAATGGGACGCGCATTGTTCGCGGGACACCGCACAGAAAACGTTGACGTTTAGAGAGTCACGCTGGTGCTCTATCTGTGCATGTGGTTGCTCGGTTCCCCAGATACGGACATTGTGTATGTTCGCCTTGCCACTGATGTGGAATGTGGCTTCACCGGAGAAAATCAGTCTTTCTACGAACCCATCTTCCTCCATTTTCAACTGCATCTCCTCGCAAAAAGTCGCGCCTTTTCTCTTTGTCTGCTGGTTTAAAGGCCTGCGGGTCATTCCATGTGAAATCATCCAGAAAGGTCGCTCACCATTTTTAAAAAAAATTATATTTTGTACACTTATTTATACATATTTTCATACTACAAAAAAATTTTTAAAAAAATTCTAATCCGCTCAGTTCTCTCGGTACAGGCGTTTTTATAATGCGAAAAAACGCGTTTTCGGCTGAAATGGAGGTTTGCGTTATCTTCCATATCTCGATAACTATTGAAGCTACAGACTCCAATAAAAACGCTATTTGTTCCTCATGATATGGACTACAAATCATATTATTACAAGTTTTTACTCAGCTCACTTTCTGTAGGTGTAATTAAACTTGAAACTTACCTATCGATTTTGGGAAAAACGCTATTTTTGACCTTCAAAAACCAATGGGAGGGGGAAAGTATCAGATCTGTGATTTCTACCATTTGTTGTTACCTATATGGGGAATATAATCACTTAGTTTTGAATCCCGTACCTAGTTTCCAAAATTTTCCAGGAGCTTCCAAACTTTGCTCTGGGCCCCAAATCGGCCATTTTTAACATCTCATATCTCCGGTGGGGAAGCTCAGAAAATTTTTAAATTCCTAGAAGATAATGCTCTATTCTAGAGTAACTTGGAGTTAAAATTAGAACTTTGATATTCAATTAATGGCGAAGTTCTTATAATGCGAATAAACGCGTTTTCGGCTGAAATGGAGGTTTGCGTTATCTTCCATATCTCGATAACTATTGAAGCTAGGGACTCCAATAAGAAATCAGTTTGTTCCCCATGATATGGACTATAAATCATATTATTACAAGGTTTTACTCAACTCGCTTCCTCTAGGTCTAATTAAGCTCGAAATTTACCTATCGATTTTGGGAAAACCGCTATTTTTGACCTTCAAAAACCAATGGGAGGGGGAAAGTATCAGATCTGAGGTTTCTACCCTTTGTTGTTACCTACATGGGGAATATGATCACGTAGTTTTGAACCCCGTACCTAGTTTCCAAAATTTTCAAGGAGATTTCAAACTTTGCTCTGGGCCCAAAATCGACCATTTTTAACATCTCATATCTTCGGTGGAGAAACTCCGAAAATTTTGAAATTCATAGCAAATAATGCTCTATTCTAGAGTAACTTGGAGATAGAATTACAACTTTGATATTCAACTAATAGCGATGTTGTGGGCACTTTGAATTTTACGAAAAAATCAATACCTCGATAATTGGCTTACCTGCATCCAATGGTATTGCCGGTTCTTTATTTGGTATAAAAGACGAGAGATCTATATTTTGTCACTAAAATCATTTTCAGGCCTGTACTTACTGCTCGGAATGACATGTTATCAACACTCGGTTCTTAGAGCTAAGCTCTGGCTATAAACATGGACCTACATCTACGTCCCTTATTTCGCGCCTTGTGTGTTTTGACATCTGAACCCAAACTTTTGTAATCGTGATGTTAGTGTTAGGCTGCTTTCTCAGCAGCATGAAGCATTCACATGAATGCTGTCTCGAACTGTAAGTCAGTGTATGTTCAGCAACTGTAGATCTTTTACGTGTATCGAGCTCGGTATTCTCTAAGTCGAAAGGAAAAAGTTTTTGAAATGGAATGTTCTATAGGTATTGTCACACGTGAAGAATGCCATAAGACTACGTATGGTGCCGTCAACAAACAGTTAACGCTTGTGAGTGAATTGGGTGAAGAGAAACAAACTGTTTTAAAGTTAAGATTGGGTGAATGCGATTTGAGGTCCATATGCAAGCATCATGAGATTAAATATTCTGTTAAATACAATCACCTGTTTGGAAACATTTGTTGTGACCCGCTAAAAGTGCACAAACGAACCATTAAGAAAGGTTTACGTGAAATTTCATTAGAACATCTCAAGAAAGAAAAGAATTTTCCGGTAGCTCTAGTACCAGGTAAATCCTTGTGTCCTAATTGTTACACAAAGATTTTTGTTCTTAAAGAAACCGTAAGTGGGGGCAGTAGTGGTTCTGGAAGGAGCGAGTTTGCACCTATGCAAGAAAATGTGGCAGAATTAGAAGCAGTATGTTCGGCTCTAGATATTTCTCCTGTGGCTAAAATTATGAAGATGAATACTGGGAAAAGACCCGCTGCTTTATCAAAAAAATGTAGAAGAATATCCGACTCTCTTCGAAGGAAACTAGCGAGTTCATTTTCAGACGACTCGATGGGTCTTGATTCAGATGAACAAATACCTTCCTTTGCATTAAGTGAGGAGTATGATTTGTTGATTAACAAATTAAAGGAGAAATGTTTAATCTCAAACAAAGAGGAAAAAATTAAAATCATTAGCTTATTGCCAACTTCGTGGTCAAGACAGAAGATAAGTCAAGAATTTCAAGTTTCTGAGCACTTGGTTAGAATTACTCGAGCGCTTCAGAAGACGCAAGGGATCCTTCCGGATTTAGGCAAAAGGCGTGGCCATCCAGTTCGTGACGAAACAATTCAGGCTGTCACGGAATTTTATGAAAACAATGAAAACAGTAGGATCTGCCCTGGAAAAAAGGATTGTGTGAGTGTTAACGTGGGAGGTATCAAAGAGCATATGCAGAAACGGCTGATACTATGCAATTTGATGGAACTTTACATTCACTTTAAGAATACGCAACCTGAACACAAAATTGGTTTCTCCAAATTTTGTGCACTTCGACCGAAGTGGTGTATCATTGCTGGTGCATCGGGGACTCATACCGTTTGTGTGTGCAGCTATCACCAAAATGTTAAGCTGATGGTAGAGGGAGCAACATTGAATTCGGACTACAAGGATTTATTACGTGTAATGGTTTGTGACATCGAAAGTTATAAGTGCATGAGTAATGAATGCGCAGACTGCCCTGGAGAAGAAATTCTGACGGAATTGCTATCAGCCGAATCTGAGAGCATGCCGGATCAAATAGTCTACAAACAATGGGTCAACACAGACAGAGCTAACATGATTTCTGTAATGCAAACTTACAGTGAATTCTGCGAATCTCTAATTGAAAAACTGACAGAACTGAAAAAACATCACTACGTCGCTAAAATTCAGTCCCAGTATTTGAAAGAAACGAGGGAAAGCCTGGACGAAACACAGTGTCTCGTTCTTGCAGATTTTGCAGAAAACTATTCGTTTCTCGTTCAAGACGAGATTCAAAGTTTCCATTGGGTAAATCAACAGGCTACACTTCACCCATTTGTGTATTACTACAAGGCGGACAATATAACAAAATGCCGAAGCTTGTGTATAATCAGTGATCATGTAAAGCACGATACAGCCACAGTTTACGTGTTCCAAAAATATCTTATCGCCGATATAAAAGAAAATGTGCCTTCAGTCAGGAAAGTTATTTATTTCAGTGATGGCGCTGGAAGCCAATATAAAAACAAAAAGAATCTTTCCAATTTATGTCATCACTATGAAGACTTCGGTCTTCAAGCAGAATGGAACTTCTTTGCCACCTCGCACGGGAAGAATGCCTGTGACGGTATTGGCGGCACCACGAAGAGGCAAGCAACGAAAGCCAGTCTTCAGAGAACTCATTTTAATCAAATCATGTGCCCGCTAGAACTGTACAAATTCTGCACAGAAAATATCTCAGGGATAGTTTACTTTTTTGTGCCAACAGAGGAAGTTGCAAGAAATGAAATCATTCTAAAAAGCAGGTTCCAAAAGTGCAAAACTGTGCCCCATACAAGAGAAAAACACCGGGTCGTCCCTCTGGAGGAAAACACGGTCAGGTGTTATAAAACATCTAAGTCCGATGATTTCGAAGACATCGTGGTAGTGGACAATTCCTGAACTACTTTCAAACAAACTGGACGATTTTCATCGGAGTACACAAAGAACTAATACTATTGGATGCAGGTAAGCCAATTATCGAGGTATTGATTTTTTTGTAAAAGTCAAAGTGCCCACAACTTCGCTACTAGTTGAATAACAAAGTTTTAATTTTATCTCCAAGTTACTCTAGAATAGAGCATTATTTGCTATGAATTTAAAAATTTTCGGAGTTTCTCCACCGGAGATATGAGATGTTAAAAATGGTCGATTTTGGGCCCAGAGCAAAGTTTGAAATCTCCTTGAAAATTTTGGAAACTAGGTACGGGGTTCAAAACTACGTGATCATATTCCCCATGTAGGTAACAACAAAGGGTAGAAACCTCAGATCTGATACTTTCCCCCTCCCATTGGTTTTTGAAGGTCAAAAATAGCGGTTTTCCCAAAATCGATAGGTAAATTTCGAGCTTAATTAGACCTAGAGGAAGCGAGTTGAGTAAAACCTTGTAATAATATGATTTATAGTCCATATCATGGGGAACAAACTGATTTCTTATTGGAGTCCCTAGCTTCAATAGTTATCGAGATATGGAAGATAACGCAAACCTCCATTTCAGCCGAAAACGCGTTTATTCGCATTATAAGAACTTCGCCATTAATTGAATATCAAAGTTCTAATTTTAACTCCAAGTTACTCTAGAATAGAGCATTATCTTCTAGGAATTTAAAAATTTTCTGAGCTTCCCCACCGGAGATATGAGATGTTAAAAATGGCCGATTTGGGGCCCAGAGCAAAGTTTGGAAGCTCCTGGAAAATTTTGGAAACTAGGTACGGGATTCAAAACTAAGTGATTATATTCCCCATATAGGTAACAACAAATGGTAGAAATCACAGATCTGATACTTTCCCCCTCCCATTGGTTTTTGAAGGTCAAAAATAGCGTTTTTCCCAAAATCGATAGGTAAGTTTCAAGTTTAATTACACCTACAGAAAGTGAGCTGAGTAAAAACTTGTAATAATATGATTTGTAGTCCATATCATGAGGAACAAATAGCGTTTTTATTGGAGTCTGTAGCTTCAATAGTTATCGAGATATGGAAGATAACGCAAACCTCCATTTCAGCCGAAAACGCGTTTTTTCGCATTATAAAAACGCCTGTACCGAGAGAACTGAGCGGATTAGAATTTTTTTAAAAATTTTTTTGTAGTATGAAAATATGTATAAATAAGTGTACAAAATATAATTTTTTTTAAAAATGGTGAGCGACCTTTCTGGATGATTTCACATGGAATGACCCCTGCACCAATCGCATCTTGTACGGTTTAAAACATAGCCGCTTATGCAACACCTTCCACATCGCCATTTTTGGCATGCCAAATTCCCTGCTTCCTCTACCCACTGACTTGCGAGTACTTCGCTCAAACACCTCATGCACTCTTTCTATGTTGTCATCAGACACACGAGGTCGACTAGGACTCTTGCCTTTACACAAGCATCCAGTTTCTACAAACTGTCGGTACCACCTGATTGTGTTATTTTTGTGTGGTGCGTCTTTTTGAAACCGTGCACGAAACGCACGCTGCACTGTAATCACAGATCTGGACACCTCAAAACGGAGCAAACAGAAAGCCTTCTCCTTCTGCAACGCCATCTTTGAAACTGGCCCCGCGGCCACGCAGTAAGCATGAGAAGCGAACTGCTGGTAGCGCATGAGAATCTCGGACTGTTGCCGCCGGTGACGGTGTATGTTGTGCCCGTGTAGGCTGAGAAATAACGTTTTAATAACTTTTGAAACCACACCATTCTTTTGTGTATACCTTGTAATTATTTTGGTAGGATAACCCCGAAGGAGGTTCACATTTGCGAGAACGGACGATGGTGATACACTTATTATAATGTATCTTAGAGGAGTAAGTTGTGTGTGTTTAGTTTTGAATTTAGTAGTGGCTTTTTTGTGATAACACTAATGAATCTTCGAGGTCCATGACTGTAAAAGTCTTGATCTGAATAATTAAAAACTGCTCAATGAATGTCCTTTCACGAGAGAGTAAGTATGAATTTAATTCGGGAAGTCCTAGCATGAATTCTCGGCCATGGCCCCAAATAATCTAACAGAATATTATATATGAGGTTCTCGTGGCGGTTAATATTAAGATTACAGTCTTCTAAGATGTGATTCCGTATTGTCTGGTAGTTAGCGAGTTTTCTCAGTAACCTACTGCCCACAGTCTATACGCTGAAAATGTCGTAAAATGACTCATGAAAAAGGATTCGGAAATGTTCTCGCTGTAGACTGCACCAGGTACCTTCGAAACTTTTCCACTACCATACTACACGGCGTCATATCGCAGAAGATCGTATCCTTAATCTGACAGATGTTTACTGTGGTCCTCTTCAGTCCTCCATGAGAATGCCTGGAAATATTTCACGACAATACAAATTATTCCTCCACCTCATTTAACGTTAATATCGTGTGATCAACCACAGGTTATGACGGATTTTAGGTTCTTCCCGCGGTCACGATGAAGAGTGCTGCCGTCTGCGCTTTGATGCCTTGTAGTTCGGAGACAGCCCGACGCCTAGTTTGCATTCTGCTTCTACTGGTTTCTTGCTTGGCTTATTATTAGACCCTGAATATGGAGGGAATATCTTCCTCCGCAACGTCGGAGTCTCTCGAAGTACCAGAAGACCCTTCAAGCTATAGTGTGACTGGATTAAAAGACGGAAGGCTGAATAATACTTCTGATTAGGCTCTTCCCAATTCAGAATCGCTAACGTAGACATGGCCATTGCAGTCCGTTCTTACAGTAAAGAAGTGGAACCACTTCATCTTGCTCCTACCTTTCATTACGGAAGCTATCCATCACGTTAAAGAATGAACACATTCTGTAAAATCGATAAGATTTTGACGCACGGAGACCACACCGCGATGACGCGTCATTTCCGGGGGAAATTATTCAAATCTAAATTAACATTGCTTTGAAGGGTGTAGTAGGGTCGTGAAACTGGCTGTACCTTTCTGGGCAGGACAGGCTGAGTTATTGCCTACTTTCAAGAGAGAAAACACCCGGCTGTGGTCGGCAGAAATATTACATTTCAACGGGGTGGCTCCAGTATATCAGAACATCTGACCCCAAACATGGAGTTACCCTTGTTTCCGACCATGACGTGACGAAAGCTTAAAACACAGGGCGACCTTATATTCTCTCTTTTTTATTCCTTTCTGGGTACAACTCTTTCCCAGAAAGAAGTCCCGGGTGCTCTCAATTCTGTGAAGATCTCAAAATTTATCAGCATGGTGAGCCAGCCCCAGCCAAATCCGAATATTAGAAGGATCACGACAAAAGCAGTATGACTAATATTCACACGGAGAAGTGAAGGAAAGTTACCGGAAACTTCGTCGGGCATAGCAGTAACTCATACACAAGTGAGACTAATTATGATTGGGTAATTTGTTTCTTAATTAGTACTCCATCAGTTATCAATTAGTCTGTAACCATGAATTGTGACTGACAACGATTCGTCAGCTGAAACACATCTAAAGATTGTTATTAGAAAGACCTATACTGTGCAAATAACTAATACACATCTAAAAATTGTTATTAGAACGGCCTACACTGTTCACTTTAACATCTTACCTGTTGTGGTTCAATTAGTAGGATGAAGCCATTTCTAAACATAACCTTGACCGTCTCTAACGTACCAACGAAGATCTACTACAAAACCCGAAGCATACCATTAACAGACTGATTAAACCCATGAAGCAAACTCATTCTTAAAATCTATATGCCTTTAGCTGGTCTTAAAAATTTCCTGCCCTCTATACGCCCAAAAGTTGTATTCCCGTCTTTCCAAGAGACCGTCCGTCACAGGTCCCTACCCTCAGATGAATTCGAGCGTTCTCTTATCACATTTCTTTAAAATAAAATTTAATATTACGATCTCATCTGCGCCTAGGTCTCCCAAATTGCCTTCTTCTCTCCAGGCTTTCCAGCTGAAGTTCAGTACGAACCCTTAATCTCCACCATGCAAACTACAAGTCCACCACATTTAAATTTACCCGATTTTGTCACCGTAATATTTTGTTACGTGTACTGGAGGCAGCTTAAAGCAGATATACCACCGCTTTCTCCTGTTCACCTTCCTTTCCCCTCTCACTGCTATGCAGGATCGTCCAGAGGGAAACTATCTATGGCTCTATAGTCCTCGTGGACTTTTTTTTTTAATTCGCTTAGTGGGGGGTGGAGTCCACTCGGCACGGCGGCCACTGATTGGGCTATTGTACCTGCCCCGGGTGTTTATGATGATGGAGAATTTGGTGGAAGGAAGATTGCCAGGGAAACCCGAAGTACTCGGAGAAACCCCGCCCCAGCGCCACTTTGTCCACCACAAATCCCACTTGACCAGACGGGATCGAACTCGTGCCGCCGCGGTGGGAAGCCAGCGACTAACCGCTTGAGCTATGGCGCGGCCTCCTTGTGGACCTTGGTTGCTTATTCAGTTTCTTAATCTTATACACAGTCGGTAGGACTTTTAGGACGAGTGATCAACCCCTCGCAAGGCCGCTACCTACACACAGAACAACATAAACACAGAATGAACGCACATAGATATCCATGCCTCAAGTGGGATTCGAACCCACGATCCCAGTGTTCAGGCAGGCAAAGACAGTTCATGCTTTAGACCGCGCGGCCACTGTGAACGGCCGAAAGATAATTGAACACATGTAAATCACTGGCACACTTGTAATAGGAACCAATCGATACGTGAGAAAGAAAATATGGAAATACAAGGACGTAATAAGGACGCAGTACACACTGTAAGGCCTTATCCAAAAAAATATTGAAAATAGCCCACATTTATAATTACAAAATTTTAAAACTTCGAAAATGTTTACGAAGATATCAAAACGCTGGCAGATGTCCTCTAGTATGACTAGCCAAGCAATGTAACCTAACGTAATGTAACGCCCAAACATTTCCCTAGTGCGCAGTTACATGCATGATCACCTGATGCGCCAGCATAATTTTACCTATGCGGCACCAGAACCGCTCCCACCACACAAATTCGAATATCGACCACGAAGTTATTTGTGAT